TAGGGTTTAGGTTTTAGGGTTTCGGGTTTAGGGGTTTAAGTTTTAGAGAGGGTGTAGATTTCAGGGTTTGATCAACCCCGCGCATGCAAACTTTCCTCAGGGTGGGCACAGCATTTTCCAATGTGCCACCCTGTCTCGCGTGCGGAGGGCTGGATGGCGCGGACTCGCCCGATTCATTGTTTGCAGACCTGAATTCCTAGCCGCGGTTTAGGGTTTAGGGTTTAGGGTTCAGGGTTCGGGTTGAGAGTTCGGCTGGAGGGTTTGGGGTTTCGGGTTTGGGGTTTAGGGGCTTGGGGTTTAGGGAGCTTCCTTTACGTCATTTACACTTTAAACCCTATGGCTTCCGCAGCTTTACTTCAGAATCCTCAGAACCAGGTGGCGTAGCACTTTAACCTGACAGGTGTGCCAGAGTTTAGGGTTAGGGTCGAGTGACCCTGTACTTCAAAGACAGTGCAAGTTTATCCATACAAGAAAGCGGCATGCCCTTTCTTTTAGAGGGGTTCTGTAGGCTACTCGAGGTGGGCCATGCAACCATTTCCGTCTATCAGCAAAGTAAAGATAGGTGAATCGTATATGACCTACTAAGAAGCGTGGAAGTACAAGCGAGATTCAGTATAAGCACGAATATGGTTTTAAGCCATACAGGTGTTACTGAAAAGCATACGATATTTCCGAAATTGACGTAGCAACATTATTCCTTCCACGTCCACTCCCTCATCCTAAACCTGCAGTGATATAGAAGGGAGCCTGGTTTAGGCGGTTTGGGCTTGTTGTGTGTGCGTATGTGATTTTTGGACCTGAGTTTTGATGCCGGATCATACATAATTACAAGTACAATCAAGAATACTATTTCTATTCCTGTTTCTCTTTCCATTACTATTGCTATTTCTATTGCCTTTACTATTACTATGTCCGTTCCTGTTACGGCTACTATTGCTATTGCTACTGGTATTTCTATGGCTATGGCTATGGCTATGGCTAGTACTGTTGCTATTGCTCTTGCTATTTCTATTGCTACTCATGTTGTTTTTTAGTATTATTATAAGTAAAACTATTGAAATTAAAAAAGTTATTATTGTTACTGTTATTATCAGTCTAGTATTAGCATTGTGTTTTCTGAGTATTCGCATTGGTATTAATACTAGTATCAGCATTCGTAGTCGCATTAATATTTTTAATGCAAGACATTTGTGCATTGTCAACATGAGTTTTCTGGTTAATTTATGCACCCTAAACCCTGAACCCTAAACCCTAAACCCTAAAAGCATTTGTTATTTTCTATTTTCCGGCTCTTCTTCCTTGGATTCGGACTTCCAGCATGAAACTCATGGTACACACTCAGTCTGTGTGACGAACAACTCCAACCTCTTGAACATAAAACTGTACGAGAATCATACAAAACACAGCGAATAGAACACCACCAAACGTAAGATGGATCATGCAAACTGGGATGTAGGGAGTTCTCTGGGGCATCTTCGAATATACTGGTATCAACATACAGCAGGGGGTTTGGCAAGCAAAAAAGATACAAGCTCGTGCAAACAGACAGCTGACCAAACAACCCGGTACATAAAACAATCAGGAATCGACGCGTAACAGAAATTTCAAATCCAAGGTGCAAAGACTTTTGCGTGCGCAATCGGTACATACACATGCAATGACTGAAAAGCGCTGGCAATCCAGCCCACAGGACACCGTCCGATACATGAAGTAACGAAAGTGGCAATACATCAAACAATGTTCATTCCTGAGGCGTAGCGATTTCTGCGGCATAGTTTAAAGGAAAGATACGTAAAGTTTCCTGCCTCATGTGTTATATGTATATATATATATATATATCTGTTTGTATGCTCGCCCCCCCAGCCATGATCTAGGTCAGAAAGCCTTTCGGCCGCATGGGGGAAAAGGAGGGGGGGTGGGGTTATACTATGTCATACCGAAAAATACTGTGTTGTCTTTCCTTCTTGAAAGCATACAGCCCCATCAAATGAATCAGTCTCTATCTGCTTACTACGCAGTTGCTTCTTAACTAAACAATCACCACCAGTAGGTCTATGTAATATTTACTGTAATTGAGAGTCCTTTCAATGTAGTTTTTCCATATCCAAAACATTCGTTCGGATACGTTCCAAGTGATGAACCTGTTTCGTTCATACTTTAATCTGCCACTCCCGTTATGATGTATTTTAGTCGGTACAATAGTCAGGTTTGTTTCTGGAACACATTGACCCTATCTCCTTAACCCCCCCCAACTTTATTCCCAGGTTGCTGTTTAGGGTTTAGGTCTCTGAACCCTCAAACCTAAACCCTAAACCCAAATGCAACTACCCTAAGATTTGGGGTTTAGGGCGCGCGCTTAAAGGCCCAACGCCAGCCCAACTTTTTCCATGCTCTGCCCCGGAGGATCCGGGAAGGAGGGTGACTTGGGGTCAGCTGTAAGAGGCGGGGCCTGTCGGTTCGGTTCAGGGGTTAGGGTTTGGGGTTGAGGGTTTAGGGTGTAGGGATCATGGAGGTGACGCTTCCTGGCTGTAAGTTTCTGTCTTGACTTGTATGCTTTGCGTAAACCCTGAGCCGTTGAGCGCGGCAAAGCCCCAAAACCCCAAAATACAAAAAACCCAAAGCCCCGGTTAAGGCCCAAACCAAACCCTAAACCTACTGAATTCCTGAACTTGGCGGCTCCATCAGACAAGTTGACTTTCCAAGGACATGGAGTTAAAGGTTTGGCGTTCAGGGTTTGGGGTGTAGGGTGTAATCGAACTGAGGGTTGTAAGTTCTATGATTCAGATCTGCCTTGTTTTTGGAGGCATTGCCCTCGGATGTCTGGGTTGCCTAGGCGGTGGAGGACCCAGCAGAACGAAGCTAGAAACAGCAATGAGCTCACGATTGTGATGGACTTCTTCTTTGCATGGGGTTTGGGGGTGTGTGCATGTTCTGTGGGGTTTCAAGGTTTATTGGGGTAGCCGATGTCGAAAGATCTTGCAAGCGATGCTCCCTGCACCTTGGTACACCCTAAACCCCAAAACCCGAACCCTAAACTGCAATTTGCATAAGATTCACCAGAAAAGGAAGAATACAGTAATCCTTGTATTTCCCTAGCTTATGTAGAAGATGTTTTGTTTTGTTTTGTTTTTCTTTGGGGGGGGGGGGGGGGGGGGGGGGGGGGGGGGGGGGGGGGGGGTGGGGGTGCGGGGGCTTCTTAAGCAATGAGGAGTAAACGCTGTGGTACGCCTCGAGCCACCCAAGAGTAAGGGCAACTCTCGGCCAGCTGCCTGGCACCACAATGTGTGTTTCAGTGATACTTTAAACCTTAGCTTGCAACATGCGGAAAAAAAGCGTGCAAGCTCCAATGATGCTATTATAGGGTTTAGGGTTTAGGGTTTAGGGTTAAGGGTTTATTATAATATGCGAGGGAGATGGAAGATTGAACGAACCCGCAGCGACCGCTGCATCTTCGTGGTGGCTTATGCTTTTGGACAAGCGCCGCTTGCGTGTATAGGGCTAGTAAAGGGTGGTGGCACAGTACCTGGCAATCCGATGCGAAGGCATTTTCCGCGTAGGAGCTCTCATTAGTCGCCCAAAGCATCAGAAGTCGCTTGCTTCTTAGTCACAACGCTGCCTGGCCTTGCATGCCTACGACTGGCCTGTATGTTGTAGCGCAGCCAGCATGAGGAGGCCGATGTATGTTGTTAGAAGTTGAGCTTATAGGCCCTAAACCTCTACACGCTCACGGCCTTGGCCAGAGAATGAGAATTCCGCGTGTGTTTACCTTTTGCCAACCGGCACGCTGACTTGAGGTCCAGTAAATTGAGGGCTCAGCAGCTCTACGATACTTCTGCATGCGCTACATGTCCATTCTTCCGGCCATGAGGATTTGAGCCCTCAGTAGCTCTGATCGAAACACTTAAGTACCTGGCCAGCACCACTTTAGGGTTCAGGGTTTAGGTGCCCCCCTTGCAACCTCCTGTTTTGGCAGCCCGGTGAGTGCCTTTGTTATTCTACTCCACACAGCCTGTTCTGAACCCGAACCTCCCTCAACCCCATGGCACAACCCCAAACCCCAAACCCAAAACCCCAAACCCTAAACCCTAAACCCCAAACCCCAAACCCCAAACCCTAAACCCTAAACCCCACGAAAGGCTCCCGAAAGCCGAGCGACCCCGGCACCGAGGAAGTACTCGGCCATTGAGTGCGTTCACGCCTTCTTGCGGCAGCAGTCCGGTCTCTCCCGTGAGGAGACGTCAGCAGTCCTGGGAGGGTTTAGGGCTTGGGGTTTAGGCTTTAGGGTGTAGGATTTAGGGTTTGCCAGAGGCTTGAGGGCATGTCGAGTTTATGATTTCCAGGGCTGCGTAGACCAGGCATGATCATCCTGCTCCCTATATATTGGGTTTAGGGTTTAGGGTTTAGGGCTTAGGGTTTAGGGGGTTTAGGGTTTAGTGCTTAGGGCTGAGGCCTTCGGGCTGAGGGCTTAGGGCTTCGGGCTTAGCAGCCTCTGCTGGCCAGTAAACAGGGTGGAAGCCCATGGCATGAGAGGAGACTAAGGTGCTGAGGCACTTTCGGGTGTTTCGGGGTTAGGGTTTAGGGTTTAGGGCCTAGGGTGAAGGTGTTTTGGGCTACGATTCAGGACTTGAAGGTGATTAGGGATTAGGCACTGGGGGATTAGGGTTTAGGGATTAGGATTGAGGGCAGTGTTAATGTGGTGGTCGCAGGCCTCTACGCAAGGCAGCTCGTCCAGAAGCCCCAAATCCTAGTAGTCAGCCTGGTCGCCGCCCCTGCTGGGCTCCAGGCAAATCTTTGGAAGCAGCTCTTGCCAATGAACCTTCGTGAGGCCCAGCTTCAATCCCTTCGGGCTTCTGGGCCCCAGTCTACGCGAGGCGAGGTCGCTTGGTCGACTCTGCCAATTGGGCCGTAACTTTGGGTAGTGCTCGAGCCATTTACCACTTGCTGCCTGAGATGATGAAGCCTTGCCCTTTGGGACCTTTTCCCAATGCGCTGACCCGGTCATGCCCCAAACGCTTGGTCGAAAGCAGCTGCTGCGCTGCAAGGCCAACTACAGAAAAGACGAATCACAACTGCAGGTGATATGGCACTAACCAGTTAGAACTGCACTTATGACCCACTTATAAGCCCCTTAAGAGCCCTACTATGGTTATAAGTACAGCTATAAGTACAGTTTTAATTGGTGAATCATGGCCCAGTACCAGACACAACACTTGTTGCCAGAGCAGGGGCCCCTCACCCATCATCCCAACGTGGGAGCTTAAGAAGCTCAAAGAAGCCCTGAACAAGCCTTTCCAGTAGCCCTAAACCCTCAACCCTCAACCCTCAACCCTCAACCCTCAACCCTCAACCCTCAACCCTCAACCCTCAACCCTAAACCCTAAACCCTAAACCCTAAACCCTAAACCTTAACGTAAGGAAAGACCGGCCCCTGACACCCGCCTGGTCCAACATGATTTTGGGCAAGCCCATGCACCCTTCCCAACACACTCTCAAGCCATCTCAACCTAGGGTTTAGGGTTTAGGGTTTAGGGTTTACGGTTTAGGGAGTTTAGGGGTTAAGGGTTCACCTTTCTGGAGGAGCTGGACCCCTATCTGTTCACCTTCACCGGCCATGATGCCATCGACCACCTCTTTGAGGCGTGTACCCCCGGTTTGAAAGGGTTTCGGGCCTTGAAGGCATGGGGTTTAGGGTTTAGGGTTTAGGGTTTAGGGTTTAGGGTTTAGAGTTTAGGGTTTAGGGTTTAGGGTTTGGGGTTTGGGGTTTAGGGGTTTGGGGTTTGGGGGTTTGGGGTTTGGGGGTTTGGGGTTTAGGGTTTACGGTTTACGGTTTAGGGTTGAGGGCGATATCTCTGGTTAGGGCTGAGGGTGGTGGCTTCTTGAGGGTTCAGGGACCTCGCTGCAGCCGCAGGGTTTCGACCCTAAACCCTAAACCCTAAACCCTAAACCCTAAACCCTAAACCCTAAACCCTAAACCCTAAACCCTAAACCCTAAACCCTAAACCCTAAACCCTAAACCCTAAACCCTAAACCCTAAACCCTAAACCAACCTTCACAGCGTCATGGCCTCTGACCTCAAAACGCTGAACCCTATAAGCCCTAAGTCTAACAAGGGTCCCGTACGAAAGGGGTGCGTGCGTGGGCCCCGAGCCTATACTCTAAACCCTAAACCCCCAAGCCCTAAACCCTAAACCAACAACCCCAAACCCTGAACCCCAAACTCTAAACCCCAAGCCCTAAAGCCCAAACCCCCAAACCCCCAAACCCCAAACCCCAAACCCCAAACCCCTAAACCCTAAACCCTAACCCCCAAAACCCTAAACCCTAAGCCCTAAGCCCTAACCCCCAAAACCCTAAACGCTAAGCCCTAAACCCTAACCCCCTAAACCCTCAACCCCAAACCCCAAACCCTAAACCCTAAACCCTAAACCCTAAACCCTAAACCCTAAACCCCCCCAAACCGCGAGCCTTGCCGGTAAGGTGAGTTCGGGCCTAGACTCGCTTGTGCTCGGCGAGGCTCCGTCCTCTTTTGAAGCTCCTTTTTGGGGTTTAGGGTTTAGCATTTAGGGTTTAGGGTTTAGGGGTTTAGGGGTTTAGGGGGTTTAGGGGTTTAGGGGTTTAGGGGTTTAGGGGCTTTAGGGGTTTAGGGGTTTAGGGGTTTAGGGGTTTAGGGGTTTAGGGGTTTAGGGTTTAGGGGTTTAGGGGTTTAGGGGTTTAGGGGTTTAGGGTTTAGGGGTTTAGGGTTTAGGTTTTCGGGTTTGTGTATGAAAGTTGGGGGTGTGTTGGGCTTAGGGTTCCCTACTGAGCCCCCAAACCCTAAGCCCTGAAACCTAAAGCCGTCTAACCCTCTGACCCTAGAACCCTAGAACCCTCTAACCCTATACCCCTGCAACCCTTCAACTCTCTAACTCAAGAACCCTAACCCTAACCCTTTAGGGGTGTTCTTTTGGGGGGGGGGGGGGTGGGCTTGGTCGGGGTTTCGAGACTTGTTTTCCTGTTTTGTAACTCGGCTGAGAGTTTGGGCTGTGCCAAGGCCACCCCAAAAAACACCCCTAAAAGGGTTTAGGGTTATTAGGGTTATTGCGTGTTTAGGGTTTAGGGGTTCCGTAGGAAATAAGGGCGTCGTGCATCTTGGGAGGGGGCTACTGTCGTATGCCCACTGCCGTTCACATCGACGTCGCGCAGCCCAGCCAATGCGTACGGACGAACTTGGGTTCAGGGTTTGCTTAGGGTTTAGGGTTTAGGGTTTAGGGTTTAGGTGTTGAGGATTTTGGGGTTTCAGCTTTCATCAGCCAGGCAGCAAGTTTGGGTTGAAAAGGCTTAGGATTCATACAGAGGGTGTAGGGTTTAGGCTTGAGGTTGGTTTTAGAGTGAAGGGCTTATGTTTGGGGTGTGGGGCTTATAGGGTTTAGGCATTCAAACGGAGGCGGAGCATCCTGTCGAGGTTTCATTGCGAAGACCACCTTGGCTCTAGAAATTCTGCGGATAGGGTTTAGGGTTTAGGGTTTAGGGTTTAGGGTTTAGGGTTTAGGGGTTTAGGGGTTTAGGGTTTCTCCTTCAAAGCATCAGGCAACAACACCCTAAAGTTGTCATCATAAGTCCTATAGACACCAGACCCTAAACCCTAGGACTCCAAACCCATCCATGTCAACCACTGGGGTCACTGGGGCCCCCAAAACCTGCCCCCCTAAAGCGGCGGGGGGAGGGTGGGGTGGAAACCCTCAACCCTCAACCCTAAACCCTAAACCCTAAACCCTATTTTCGCAAACCCCCCTGTGAGGCTCAGATCCTCGCGCAGGTGAAAGCATGCCACGCCCACTGCATCGCAAAGGGCGAGGAAGGTGACGAGGAGCTTCATGGGCTCATGAGTAGGGTTCAGGGTTTCGGGTTTAGGGTTTAGGGTTTAGGGTTTGGGTTTAGGGTTATTTAGAGTTGAGGGTTTAGGGTTGAGGGGATTACCGGGACACACCTGGCATGCGCCACCTGAGGGGCTGTTGGGAGGCTCTCGGTCCACCCTGCAGGCCCTAGTACGAAAGCCCGAGCCTGACTGCAAGCACCCACTTGGTAGGTTTAGGGCTTAGGGTTTAGGGTTTAGGGTTTAAGGTTTAGGGTTTAGGGTTTAGGGTTTAGCCCAGTGGTACCCTTTACCCTTTTTTTGGTTCTGGGTTCCCTTAGACAGTAGCCAGACCTTACTATAACATGGTTACTGGGTTGCGAAGTCCAAGACCTGGAACCTCCCCCGAAACACCCCTCAACCACCCTCCCTTAAGCCTCGAAAGCTGCAACGCACCCTCCCAACCCAAAACCCCAAAACCCTGGAGGATCTCTAAAATGTCTCCCGGAACCTCGGTCTTTAGCCTGCGCTGTAAAAGCTCCTACTTGCAGCTAGTTTACACCGCTAAACTACCTCAAAGAGCCCTAATCCCGCCCCCTTTTGGGGGCTTAGTAGCCCAGTGGTACCCTTTACCCTTTTTTTGGGTTATGGGTTCCCTATACTCAAGTAACCAACCCCAAAAAAGGGTGCCCTATAATATTGCTACCGGGCTACGAAAATTGCATTCCGAGGAGCAAGTCCCAGGCTCCGGTGGCAAGATCATCGCGAAGATGCTGAACGCCGGAATCCGGCCGGGGGCCCCTGCACGCGCCGGGCTCTAGCTCCCTAAGAGTCCATGTACCTCAATATATTGCATACTTAGGCATACTTGGGCCCGCAAAGTCCCTATATGGGTGGTTGTCAAAATCATGGTCCCTTTTTGGATCCCTATTATAATATGGCACCTAATATTTAGGGTACCCCAAAAGGGATCATAATTTTGACAACCACCCATATGGGAAGTACTTTAAAGGCCCAAGTGCTCGATGTTTAGGTACAAGGGCCCTTAGGGGTTGAGGGCTTATGGAGGGTTTGAGTATCGGGATTTGGAGTTAGCAGTTTGATAGGGTTTAGGGTTTAGGGTTTAGGGTTTAGGGTTTAGGGTTTAGGGTTTGGGGTTCCAGGTCTACTGTGGGCGTGCAGCTTGTTGCAGCAAGCTTAGTGTTTTTTCTGGAAAAAAGTCGAGTTTCCTCAGCTTCTGGGTGGCTTTGCCGTTTGCTTGTTTTCCGCCTAAATCCCCAAACCCCAAACCTTCATAGTTCACACTTCCAAGCCAGTGTGTTGTTAGGTTTCTTTGGCTTAGGGTGTCGAGTGTACGGTTTGTAGGGTCACTCGGATTCGGGGCAAAAGGGCTTCTGAGGGCACGTGTCTTCTGTGTGACTTTGCTGCCGTGTACCCTTCAACACCACAGCACCGCGAAGAAGCCCTAAGCCCCCCCAAATTCCAAGCCCTATAGGACCCCAAACCCTCGCGCAGGATTGGCAAGCTCGTGAGGACTCGCACCAAGATTGGCAAGGGCCGAAGCCCTGGCAGCTCTTGCAGTCTCTGGCACAGGGCAGGGGCAGAGAGGGAGCACATCCCCTAAACCCTAAACCCTAAACCCTAAACCCCGGTCCTGCTTCCCTCATTCTCTTTACCCTCAAAACCCTACAAACCCGATAAACCTTCTAGACCCTACAAGCCCTATAAACTCTATATGTAAACCATGTATGTAGGGTTGAAGATTTAGGGGAAGGAGAGCCCTGCTGACCTTTAGAGAGGTAGTTGCATCCCCCTTTCTACAGCACATTTCTACTCCCAGAAGCCAATCTGCAGTTTCCGGTAGAAAACAGGACCCCAAGTTGTACGCTGAAGCCAAAACCCCTGAACAACCATAACAGACCATAATGAATCCTCAACCCCTAAAATACCCCGAAGACATAATCCCAACATCCCTAAACCTTTAAATGGCCCTATAGACCGTTAGCCCAGAAAAACCCTAACCCCCAAAACCCAAAATGCACCCACGGCGCCGACACCCTAAACCCCTAAAGCCCAAAAAAAGCCTAAACCCTACAGACCCTAAACCCAAAACCCCTAAAACCCCCAAATTCCTAGAGACCCAATAATCCCTAGAACCCCCAAATCCCTAGCCCCCAAAAACCCTATAACTCAATATCCCTAACCCCAACCCCCTAAGACCTTAAACCTTAAAACCCTCTTTGTTTGTTTTAAGCTCCAGAATCCCCGAAATCCCTAAACCCTAAACCCCCGCTAAACCCCTGAAACCCCTAAGACCCCAAACCCCTAAAACCACCATTTTTTTGTTACAAAGCCCAAATTTCCCTCAACCCCTAAAACCCCAAATCCCGAAGATCCCCGAGTGAAGCCCCTAAATCCCTAAATCCCTCAACCCTAAACCCTAAACCCTAAACCCCCCAAGACCCTGAAAAGTCCCCCGAGGCTCCGTCTCGGTGTCCAGCGCTGCCGTGGAGCTGATGATGTCCAGGCCCTGTCGCTTTGGGTTTAGGGTTAGGGTTTAGGGTTTAGGGTTTAGGGTATAGGGTTAGGGGTTTGGGGTTTGGAGTTTGGGGTTTGGGGTTTCGAGTTTGGGGTTTGGGGTTTAAGGTTTGGGGTTTATAGGGTTTAAGGTTTAGGGTTTGGGGTTGAAGGTTTGGGGTTTTGGGGTGCGGGTATAGGGTTTAGGGTTTCGGGCTTCGGGGTTAGGGCTTCGATTTTCGGCTCAGGATGCATGTACCTTTGAAGCCTTCACGGGGAATCTTGCTGCCCCTAAGCGGTTACCACATGGCATCCTTTGCCCTAATCCCCAAAATCAAACCCAAAACCCTGGACCCTACCACTAAGCCCCCTTTTGCCCTAATCCCCAACATCCTCAACTCCAAACCCAGAACGCTAGACCCTACCACCACACCCATCTTGTGCCCCGAGTGTTAGTGCCCATTCGGGGCTTTAAATCTAATATCTAGGATATGGGCACATGGAGACAGTCTACAACTTAAGCCCTCGACCCTAAACTCTAAAGGTTTGAGGGTTCCCTAAAACCCTCAGCGCAAAACAAAACTCAACTCGCAGCCCCTATAAATTTCGAGGTTCAGGGTTAAACCCTAAACCCTAACACACCGGCAGGTCCATGCAGGACCTGCGAAAGCCGGCTGGCAAGGTGCATGCGCCCTGGCCGAAGCTTGAGGTTGTGCTTTCGCTGGGTTGAGGCGTGTTTAGGATTGGGATAAGGGCTGAGGGTCTGCAGGCCATGATGGGCATTTTCTTACTGTAGGTTTGTGGCTAAGCCCTATACAGCCCCGAAGCCATAGTTGCGCGGGCCTGGTGTTCTAAGGACTGAAGTCCAACAGTCCAATGTGCTTACTTGCGCAAGCCGTATCCCTTAACCTTAAACCCTAGAAACGCTGCCCATGCGCTTTCGAGGCTTACAGGTTTGGGCCCTTGAAGAACTGAACCCTAAACTCTCTACCCTAAGCCCTTCATCAGGTCGCCATCATCGGGGCAGGCAAGATGTCCAGGCTGGGTGCCTGCGATGCAGTTTCTCGTTCCTCCCGCTTAGTCTTTTTAGCCCAGCTGGCGAGCTTTCAGGGGCCGTTTGCTACCCCCACACCCTCCGTTTCAAGAACAGCTGTTTCACTGCAGTCGGGCTTAGGGTGTTGGCATTTGGCCTTGAATCTGCGGGCAGGAAGAGCTGTTAATGGTCAGGCTTATAGGGTTGTAAGAAATTCTTTCGGTCTGAACTATCCACCATCACTAAGGGCTCTGGAACCCATGCGACTGGTAGTTGGCAGGTTTTGAGGTTTATTGTGTACATGTTGTAGAGTGGGGCGCCATGTGATCTTTGCGATTTAGGGTTTCGCGTTGTCGTTTCGAGCTTTGGTTGAGGTTTGGTTTAGATGTTTTCTTAGGTTCAAGAAGGTCTACCTTTTCCTTAAGTTATGTAAGAACGTAAGCAGCTCACCAAGAATTCTGGAAACCGGGCTTGTAGCTCACCTCGGTACTTATCACTGTCTTTACCACTATCCAAGAACACTCAACTCTTTAGGCCTTCATACTTTCCCTTATTGGGTTTAAAGAGGATCATGTTCAGAAACATTTTCACCCTAAACCCTACACCCTAAACCCTAAACCCTAAACACTAAACCCTAAACCCTAAAGGAACATTTCTCACAGGGTCTTACGGGCCATCCTAGTCTTCAACCCTTCATGGTTGCACACCCTAAACCATGAACCGATGGCTCCTTGAAGTTGCTAGGGAAGAGGGTTCAGGGTTTAGGGTTTAGGGTGAGACATATGAGGCTTGACCTACCTCAGGGTCTGGGATTTAGCGCCTTCGGTCCGATGCATCAAGGACTCGCCTCTAGAGATTCTTACCCGAGACGGGACTCTAATTTGTTAACAATCTTCGTATATTGAGGCCGTGCAACTATGTACACTAGGAAAGTTCCCTGGGGTTGATTCGGATGATTTGTCAAACCCATCTGTTGTAACCCTATACACCCAAAAGCAAGGACTTTGATTGGATGCAACCCTACTGGGCTTAGAGGACGTAGAGGAAGTTTTGTGGCAAATAGCATTGTAGTTGATGAACTGGAAAGAGTTCGATATAAGATTTCGGACATACAAAGCCCTAAAGCCCTCAACCCCAAACCCTGAATTAACCCACGCAACCTTTGTGGCGCATTGTCAGGCTCTGTCTCCTCGCACTCTTCAGCAAGCACCCCGACATCAAGGTCACTTTGGTAAACCGTTCCGTGGACAAGGCTGGATTTAGGGTTTAGGGCTTAGGGCTTAGGGCTTAGGGCTTAGGGCTTAGGGCTTAGGGCTTAGGGCTTAGGGCTTAGGGCTTAGGGCTTAGGGCTTAGGGCTTAGGGCTTAGGGCGTGGCGATCCCTGCTCCTGAAAAGGGCTTCTTGTAGTGGCCCAAGTGGTGGCTCCTTTTTTTGCCCTTTGCCTGCTGATGTCTGTCAAACCCCAGATGGTCACTTCTCGAAAAGATGGTCTCTTTTGAGGTCGCGAATATATGGCGGCCCCTCTTATTTATGGTACCCTAGGGACCCTACTGATTTTGAGAACTGACCAGATGTCTTAGGAGTTTGATTCAGCATGCAGGGCTCAGGCCCAGGGTTTCTTGGTAGCCCAGAGGTACCCTTTGTCCGTTTTTTCGTGCCAGGTTCCCTTATAAAGTCACCAAGCCCTCAAAAAAGGGTACCCTTGTTATGGTATGGTTATTGGGCTGCCGAGGCATAGCTTGTAGAGTTAGGGCAAGTTTGATGTTTAGGCTTTAGGGCTGAGGGTTTAAGGTTTCGAGCCTACAGGCTGGGGTTTTAGAGTTTCGGCTTGAGGGCGAGGGTTCTATGATAGTATTGTTTATGTGACTATTTTTCTATATGACTCTACTACTCTATTACTGTTTTCACATATTATTCTACTTGTTCTGACAATATGGTTATGTTTTGCAAATGTATTCGTATATTCTTATACTACTGTATCGTTGGGCACTCCTAGGCTCGAACCTTATGTGCGATGCATGCGAGCAGATTGCGGTTTAGGGTTTAGGGTTTAGGGTTTAGGGTTTAGGGTTTAGGGTTTAGGGTTTAGGGTTTAGGGCTTAGGGCTTAGGGCTTAGGGTTTAGGGCTTTGCAGGCACAGGTAGTGCTCGACGATGACCTCGTGAAGGCACGCGGCGGCACCAACGCCACGGCAGGGGCACTCAGGGTTCTGCAGGGTTCAGGGTTATAGTGTGACAGGGTTCCGGGTTCAGAATTTAGGAAGTGCTGTGTCTTCCGAGTTGACACAGCTGTTCGGCTCTGATGTTCTCTGAGTGAGCCTGCGGTGCCAGATTTTTGTCGTTTAAGTTTACGTTTCCGCTTTCGGGGCGTACGTAAGGGCCCGAAAACCCTTCAAATCTGAACACGTACCTAGCGGTATATACCACAAACCCTAAAAAGCCCAAGGTCCCCTCTCACCAGTACACCACGGAAAGTCCTCAACCCCAGACCTTGAACTCCTTGCTAGCCCAGTGGTACCCTTTTCGCTTATTTTGGGGTGCTCGTATCAAGTAGCCAACCCACAACAAAGGGTTCTCTGATTGTAATGATGTGGTTCTGGGTAAGCAAGAACTCTAAACCATCCATCATAAAGCCCCCCCATGACCTCCCCTCTACATACCTCTTGAGGCGGCAGGCTTGGAACCAGATGTTCCCGAAGTAAGCCCTAACCCCTAATTCCTAAACCCGAAACCCTAAACCCTAAACCCTAAGCCCTGAACCCTCAACCCTAGACCCTAAACCCTAAACCAAACCTAACCCTAAACCCTAAACCCTAAACCCTAAACCCTCAACCCTAAACCCTAAACCCTAAACCCTAAACCCTAAACCCTAACCTAAACCCTAAACCCTAAACCCTAAACCCTAAAGCCTAAACCCTAAACCCTAAACCCTAAACCCTAAACCCTAAACCCTAAACCCTAAACCCTAAACCCTAAACCCTAAACCCTAAACCCTAAACCCTAAACCCTAAACCCTAAACCCTAAACCCTAAACCAATCCTGAGGTGGCGGGCATGGACCAGATGTTCGAGGTGATGAAGGAGAGCGACGTGGTCTTCACGGCCACCGGCAGCGAGGTGGGCCTGGCGCTGGGGGGGTGTTCAGGATGGGAGTTGGGTCAGAGTTTCAACCCTTGACCCTAAACCCTAAACCCTAAACCCTAAACCCCAAACCCTAAACCCTAAACCCTAAACCCCAAACCCTAAACCCTAAACCCTAAACTCTACCAGGGGCTAGGATCCATTTGGGCTTTCTTCCTGTATCTGGGGACCGTCTTTTGTGTTTATGTAGGTTTTGCAAGACTAGAGGTTTTGTTGTAAGAGTTGGTAAGTGTCTATATGGCCTCCTCTAATTTGTGGTCCCTGTTTTGGGTACCCTGAACAAGAGAGGCCGCCTGCCCGAAAAGGACCAGAGTTTATAGGCCCCGAAAGCCCCCTACAATGCTGTAAGGCTGATACGGGGACGAGGGTAGAGGCAGCTGGGTCTGCACCATGTGGTGGAGTCATTGTTTAGAAGGTTGAGGGTTTAGGGTTTAGGGTCTAGGGTTTAGGGGAAGTTTGGGGTTATAAGGTTGAGGGTAAGCTTGTAGGTTCATGGCTGGTTTGTGACAAGCGTTTTAAGTACGGTGGCCTACATGACATCGTGTTTTTCCCTCAAGCCCTGAACCCTAAACCCTGCACCCTAAACCCAAAGCCCTGTACTCTGGTGCTGGGGCTTGAGTTTTGCTGCGCAGGTGCCCATCATCCACGCCCCTGACGTGGAAGGACATGTTGTATATCACTCCTTTCAGAGAGGGCCGAAACCTTTACATCCCAAATGCTACCGTTCAGCTCTTCATAAGAGGGGTGGGTGTAGGATGTTGGCTGGCTGTTTTGTTATCGGAGGTTTGTCTGGGAGGTATGCAGAGCAGGATGCCAGAGTTAACCATCATAACGCGCATACACCAGATCAAACAAGTACCTCTGCTATACCCAGCTCTTGCAGATGTTGCCCCAAGCCCTTCTTTGCAAGCCACGGCGCGCCGCCCCAAGACCAAAGACTTGTCAGAGAGCCAGAGAATCTAAAATGTAAAAGCCCGAAAGAACCTCAAGACCCAACTGCCAAAACCTGAACCCTGAAACCCCTAAACCCTAAACCCTAAACCCTAAACCCTAAACCCTAAGCCCTAAACCCTAAGCCCTAAACCCTAAGCCTAAGCCCTAAGCCCTAAACCTCAATCCCGAACCCCGGTAGGACGGGAGCGGCCGCTGATGCTGATTGACATCTCGGCGCCCTCGACTAATGCATGGAACTCCTAGAACTCGGGTTTAGGGTTTAGGGTTTAGGGTTTAGGGTTTAGGGTTTAGGGTTTAGGGTTTAGGGTTTAGGGTATAGGGTTAAGAGGATCATATTCAGGAATATTGTTCAGAGGGTTTCAGATGGTTTTCTGGTGCTGGGTGTCGACTTTAGGGGCAAATAGATCTTCAGGCTTTAGTAAATTAGGTTTGAGGGTGTTTCAGAACATGGGGCCGGGCTCGTAAGCGCTCCGTGTTGATGTTTGAGATAGTTGGATCTCATGCCCCAAGCCCTAATTAAACTTTGAACGCTTGACACTCCACCCTGAATCCTTCAACCCCAATCCTGAATCCTACCCCCCCCCCCAACTCCAACCCTCCTCCCCCTAAAGAAGGCAGGAGGCGAGGAGGAGGAGGAGGGGGAGGAGGCATGGCAGCAGATGACGATCAAGGCCGAGCTCTGGCGGCCTTCGTTCAGTCCATGAAACTCAAGTGGGTCAGCGCGGAGGTCTCCCTCGGCTCGGCGCCAGAGGGTTGCGGCAGCAAAGTGGTGGATGAGCTCATCAACCGGATGCCTCCGAACCGTAGGGCTCCAAGTATACAAATAATTCCTACATTGGGGTCTAAAGTCTGTAAATAATACCTACTTTGGGGTATTTGGAGCCTGAGGGGAAGGACAGGATTCTGACCAAGGACGCCCACCAAACCGGTAATGTCGATTTCCTCGTTGCTGGTCGCAAGGCGTTGGGCGAGCTGGGCTTCGCCGGACTAGTAGAACGCATGAGAATTTGTTAATCTGATGATTTGTAGATGTGACCATATACTCACATACAAATAAGATAACATAAGATTATTATGGTACAACAACATAGCGCCGAAATAGTACATGATGGTTTTTATCATAGTATACATTTCAATATGAATATGCCAACATTAGTACTCTGTGGATTCTTTACTGTAACTTTAGATCCTTAGCCTTTTGGGGTTTATTGGGTGTTCCTTAATAAGGCAGCTAAAACAAAATTATTGTATAACTACCTTCCTAAGTGCAGCCAAAATAGTATAAGATCTTCACTTGTCATGTTAGCAATGCCGCCAAGTCGAAGTCCTGTCAAGGCATAAGGCTCTGTGCGAGACATGCAGGGTGTGCCTGACTTCGCTTTAACCCTAAACCCTGAACCCTTAACCCGTAACCCTTAACCCTAAACCTAAATCCCTTCAAGAATCAATCCGAAATCCTGCAGCGGAATGCGGTGAGTGCTTTCTAGCAGGTGCCATTAAACGTGGATGCCGGCTGCGCAGATGTGAAGGGCGCCAGTCCCCCAGAAGGTCTAATTGGGCTTTGGAGGTTTGGGTTCAGGGTTTAGGGGGTTTAGGGTTTCGGGTGATAGGGGTTAGGGACCTTCCAAGACACCCCACAAGTTGCCCATCATCATGAGCCGATATATCTGCCTGATTCCCGGAGTTTTTTGCCTAGTTGGAAGCCTTTTTGGCTTGGTAAGTCTACCTAGTACTTATCCCCTTGAAACTCGTTGTAATCCCCATTGGCCCATAACCCAACTTACTGACGCTGCTCACCAAGTCAAATGGGCTTCCAAGTATTGGCAGTAGCTTAAACCAAACTAAACCCTAAACCCTAAACCCTAAACCCTAAAACCTAAACCCCAAACCCTAAACCCAAACCCTAACCCTAAACCGCAGACGCAAGCCCAAGGCTTTGTTTGCTTTTTGTAACCCGAATGGTCCATGGTTTAGGGTTTAGGGTTTAGGGTTTAGGGTTTAGGGTTTAGGGTTTAGGGTTTAGGGTTTAGGGTACCTTTGCTGTGTATACTTGGGCCTTAGCGGGGTTCCCATGTAATTAGTAGCTTTCGGGCCCAAGCGTACACTTTATAGGTACATGGACCCTTAAGGCCTTAGGGTAAGTGACTTCTGGTGACTGTATCGCTGGGGTTTCCGATACTGGCTTTAACAGCTTTGCATCAATACAGGCCCCTATGTCCCCCCCCCCCCCCCACATTTCCCTAAGGGTCCATGTGTCCACGGGCCGTAAGTACATACTCATATACTCATATACTCTTAAGGTACATGGATGCTTCTACGGATTGAGTACTAGGTATCTATCGGGATATGCTGCAGGTCTTCTCGTATTCTGTCGACGACCTGCAGAAGGTCGTGCAGGCGGCCAAAGGGTTTAGGGTTTAGGGTTTAGGGTTTAGGGTTTAGGGTTTAGGGTTTAGGGTTTAGGGTTTAGGGTTTAATTAATCGCTTGCAAGTCTCCACAAACTCAAGCGTACGCAGGCCATTGTTCTGGGAAGTTAAAGTGCATGTAGAACCCTGAAGCCTGAACCCTGAACCCTAAACCCTAAACCCTAAACCCTAAACCCTAAACCCTAAACCCCTCAAACCCTAGAAGCCCTTCAGCCCTCGGAGAGACCCTGATCTCCTGACTTCTGAACCCCCAAGCCCTAAAACCCTGAAGCCTGAACCCCTAAACGGGTTTAGGGTTTAGGGTTTAGGGTTTAGGGTTTAGGGTTTAGGGCCTTAAACCCTAAACCCTGAAGCGTAAGAACACATGGCGCAGGCCAACGCCCAGAAGCGACAGAATGAGGTCGAGAAGGCGAAGAAGTTCATTGGCCCCGGTCTGAGTCAGGGCGGGGGATTCCCGGTTTAAGGTTTTACTGTTTAAGTTTCAGGGTTTACGGGCTTAGGGGTTTAAGGGTTTTAGGGTTTAAGGGCTTAGGCCTGAGGGCTTTAGGGCCTTGGAGCCTTAGGGCCTTAGGACCTTAGGGCCTTAGGGATTGCTTTGGACGGTTGAGCCTTGGGGTTAGGAGGTTTTGTGTCTGGAACCCGCCAAGTACCCCATAAGACGGGCCATTGTGTGTACCTTGCTGGGGCCTTTAGGGTAGTTTAACGGATGCTCGTGGTCTGGGGGGGAGTTCATCCGGCATTTAGGCCAAAACCTAGAAGCCCCCCCAACGATTCCATTTGAGTGTCTGGCCTCCTGTGTTGATAGTTCCAAAAACTTAAAACCGAAATTCGAAGACCCACTTCTAGTTTCTCTACAAGGAGAGTGCCTCGAATAATTAAAGCCCATGCCTTTCCGATTATATACATACATTCTATGTACTTATAGGTGCAAAGTAGGCAGCCCCTTTTCGGTACGATTATTGACCTGCGATCATGGCAAGTAAGTGTATTTCAGTATATGTAATGAATCAACAGGTCGAAACATCTAATGCAGATGTGTGTATACAAAACAAATTCGGAAGTGACATGTAAGCAGTGTGTATGTGTGCATATATATATACATATGTTTATGTACTTCTTTAATTGGTTATGTATTTGTATGTTAGCGTATGTTCTTCTAAGCATACTTTGAGTGTTTTGTCAAGACATACCATGTCGGTCTCCGTCTCCTACTGGGGCTGCGGCTGCGCGCGCACTCTCGTCTGTTGTGAAGGATTCAAGGCACCATGTCCTAAATCACGAAGCACCGAGTTGAACATCTGATAAGGGTTTAGGGCGAAGCTTTCAACCAGGAGAAAACTACACCGTGAACCCTACAAGCCCTGGACCCTCAAACCCTGAAGCCTACACCTAAACAAGCCTCGTAGGCCACGGACCCTAAACCCTGAAGCCCTAACCCCAATGCATCAAAACTATAAGCCCCGAACCACGTCTCGAAACCCTCAACCCCAAAGCCCCAAACCCAAAACCCTCAACCCGCAAACCCTCAACCGTAAGCCCCCTAAAAATCACAGCTACAGAGTACTATATGTGTATATGTACACTGTTTTGAGGGAATATCGTAGGCATGTAAGGATCCGAACACACGGGGCATCTTAGGGGTTGGGGTTTAGGGTTTCCGGAAAAAGGGGTGTGCGTTTGTTTTGTGGGGGGGGGGGGGGGGGCGGGTGCACTAGAGGTTTCCCGAATTTGGGCCCAGACAGCAAGCAGCGAAGACCGAGGAACCGAAGTGGGAAAGTTCAAAGTCTGGCAGGCGCGCAGCAGCCCGGGAATAGCTTCAGGGTTTGGTGACCGCGTGGCATCAGGGTTCTGAGGACTGCCTGGGGGGTAATGGTGTTATGGTGTTAGGGTTTGGGGCTTTGTAGGTTTCCGAGGTTTGCTGCAGGGGTTAGGGTTTTGGGGCTCATGGCTTTTCAGGAGTTTAGGGTTCTGCGGTGTAGGTTAGGGGTAAGAGTTCAGGGCTCATGGATTGTAGGGGGATAGGGTTCTCAGGCTGACTTGTTTAAAGCTCTAGGACTTCAAGCTTCTCCTGCATATGGACGGATGGGCTTCGGGTTTAGGGTTTAGGGTTTAGGGTTTAGGGTTTAGGGCTCACGAAGGTTCCTGTGCAGTTTGCTGGCAGGTTCAGCTGATCTCAGCGTTGGAGAAGGGCTCACTGGGGGAGATGCTAGCTGTCTGCCGCTATCGTGTGGGCCGACATGTGGAAGACCATGTGGTTTGACACCGCCAAACACAGCCCTAAACAACCCTAAACCCTAAACACTAAACCCTAAACCCTAAACCCTGAACCCTGAACCCTGAACCCTGAACCCTGAACCCTCACCCCTAAGCCCGGAAACATGAGACGAGGCGCATGTCTCCAACACTGTAGGGGGAGAAGAAGCCCAACATGTCATCATGACTAGGGATTCCCCTACTACCCCCCTCTATACTACCCCCCCCCCCCCCCCAGGTTCCCCCTTAAATAGCCTTAATTAGGCTTAACTATCCCTAAATGGCCTCAATTATGGGGGGGAACCTAGGGGGTAGGAAAGAGGGGGGTAGCAGGGGAAGCCATGCCATCCTGCGGCCGAAGTCCCAAACACTACTGGGAGGTTCATGGTACCTTATGAACCAATGATAGCTGTACTTGGTTTGGGGTTTAGGGTTTAGGGTTTAGGGTTTAGGGTTTAGGGTTTAGGGTTTAGGGTTTAGGGTTTAGGGTTTAGGGTTTCGGGTTACTGTATTTATAACAGCACTTATAACCCTATTGGGGCACTTAGGTGGCTTATAAGTGGGTGATAAGTACAGTTCTGATTGGTGAAGAGGTACCATGACCCTCCAGGTGAACCCCAGAAAGGGTTCGTGGATTTTGGGGGGTTCAGGGTTTTTGAGGGTTAGGCTTTTCGGGGTTGAAGGACTTTTGTTGGGGGGTCTGGGGTTTTAGGGTTGCCAATAGTAGTTTAGTTTTTTTGTTTTTTTCGGGGGGGGGGGGGTTAGGGTAGCCCTAAACCCTAAACCCTAAACCCTAAACCCTAAACCCTAAACCCTAAACCCTAAACCCCCAACCCTAAACCCCTAATGCAAGGCCTCCCAGGGCGCGGTGCCGTACCTCGCCGCGCTGCAGGCTGCGTGGTGCCAGGGCCAGGGATTTCGGGGCTCCAAGGTTCTATGCAGGGTTTAGGGTTTAGGGTTTAGGGTTTAGAGGTTAGGGTTTAGGGTTTAGGGCTTTTTGCTTCAGGATGTTTTGTAGTTGGGAAGGGAGTTTTAGGGCCACTTGAGCCCTTGGGATCAGGGTTCATTCCAGTCCCTCATCTTGAACGAGGCCTAACTCACCCTAAACCCTAAACCCTAAACCCTAAACCCTAAAAACCCTAAACCCTAAACCCTTATCGTCCCTAAACTTTATGGAGCCCACTCGGGCCTTGGCCAGGCCATGGCTGAGAGAATCAGGAAGCAAGAGACAGAGAAGCTGGCTCACAAGCTGAAGGCCCGCGGGGTTTAGGGTTTAGGGTTTAGGGTTTAGGGTTTAGGGTTTAGGGTTTAGGGTTTAGGGGGTTAGGATTTAGGATTTGCTGTTCAGAGTTTAAGGGTTGTCAGTGCAAGACTTTGTCAGGCTTCGGGTTGGAGCTTAGGGGTGTGGAGTTCGAAGAGGGTTTAGGGTGTGGGGTTTAGGGTTACGGCCTGACTGGCTGTCAGGGCATCAACGAGAAGGAGAGGGAGGCGGTGGAGAAGCTCACTCGCCACATCGTCGGAAGCTCGGGCAATCCTGTGAATCCTGTAATTATTGTCATCCTGCCCTATCCCTAAACCCCAAACCCGAAGAAACATTCATCTAAAGCCTAAACAGTCATCCCTAGACTCGAACACCCTCGAACAACTATCCTTCAAACCCTACCCAATTGGGGAGTACTTGGGCATTGCAGTACATCCGATGGGGTGACTTTGCCCGCAGTACCTCCTCACCCGCGTGCCCAGTTGTTCTTGCTCATCCTGTCGTGTGCGCCATATCGGATAGTACTGCCTTCAGACAACCAAGATAGACACTACTGCCCTACCAGAAGATCCGAAAGGTTTTGCCTTTTTTTGATTGGCTCTGGTTTTCCTGTTTGCTTCCGCCTGCTTCCCGAGGTTGATCAGATCTTCCGGCCTATCTACTACTCCATGAAGGAAGCAACGTGGGCTTGAGCTGGGGCTTAGACATTGAACGTGCCAGCCATGGTTTCGGGCTTAGGCTGTATTGGCTACACTGCAACGCCAAACCTGAAGCCCCTAAACCCTAAACCCTAAACCGCCCTAAACCCTAAACCCTAAAGGGTGCATGGGTCGACATGATGGGACATCGCCAATCCTTCTGAAAATCAGGGCCCCAGCAACCCAAACAAGCATACTTCAACTGGCACCCGTGTCCTGCTTCTACCCTTGGGGACCACATGAACCCGGGTTTAGCTTTAGGGTTTAGGGTCATATTCCCTACTGGAATCCCGATTAAGGTCGAAAAACCAGAAGCCGTTTTTCGGTTTATTAGGTCCACAAGGTATGACCCTGTAGAGCTTACGGTATAAGCCCTAAACCCTAGGTTGAGAATTTTCAGTCATGTCCAGCAACTCAACAGGCAATAACGTCCGGCCATTCGAATTCCAGAGCACGCACTCATGTATGGACTTCATGTAGGCTGCTTTCCAAGACTTCCTAAACCCCAATACCTAAGCCCCCAAACCAGAAACCTCAAACACTGAACGACTACGAAGCAGTGGCAGAACAGAGCTCTCAGCAAGTGCTCTATCCCCCAGCATCTTCATCCTCACCAACTCCTGCGGCGCAGGAAGACGAGGCGGTGGAGGAGAAGAAGGACAAGATCTGGGCGCTCAAAAACATGCGGGAAGCTCAGGCAGTTTCCAAGAAGTCCGGCCCAACAGGTGATAATCCTGCAGCAGGAGTCCTGACATATGGGAGCTGGCCCGAAGCATGGGCTCTTTCTTGAGTACCCGACTTGTATAACATATTATTTAGGGGCACATAGTCGTGGAGATCCCAGAAAGGGCCCGCTTGTAAAAAGAGGAACCCCTGCCAAGGTCCCTAGTTTAGGGTCCCTAGTTTAGGGACCCAAATCAAGCTCCCGATACAGTATGGCACCCTTGTAAAGAAGGACCCACAACCAAGGTCCCCAGCTTAGAGCTTACCACCTTGCAATGTTCCGCCTTATAATCGCAGTCCTCAATAGGGATTATCGTACCCCCGTTATAATCACGGTTAGTATCAGGGGATAATCCCAAGTCCCTAGTTTAGAGACGACCCCCAGGTTCAAGCTCGAGCCAGTCTTCAAGAGAGGGCTGCTCACCGAGGCATCCACCACGGAGGGGGAGGGGGCAGAGGGTCTGGGTCTTTGGGTTTTGGGTCTAGGGTTTGAGTTCTGGGTTAACCCTAAACCCTAAACCCTAAACCCAGGCATTCTCTTGTGGGCTGGACTGCCCTGTTCGTCGTGGGTGCGGCTCTCGAGCCCATCCACCGGAAGGAGGATTCGAGTTCTGGGCAACGAGGCCTTCAAGAAAGTCAGGAGCGCGAACGTGATCGTTTGTCGTTGGAGCTTACTGGCCCGCATTGCCGTGGAAAGTCCAGTGGCTGGACTTGCACAGGGCAGAAGGCACTTAAGACTGGCTGGTTCTTAGTAGGGAATGAGGGAATGAGGGCCCTACATATACATATATATATATATACCCTTTTGGGATTACACAGGGTACGGCATTCCTTCCCTACTAAGAACCAGGCGAAGATTTAGAGCGGGCTTCTAGGACTTATCGCTTGTAAAGACACGGGCTTGACATCTACAGTTACAGGGCTCCTGAACTCTAAAACATGCATGTCTTATGATTGTTAAAGCCCTAACCCCTAAACCCCTAAGCCCCTAGCCCCGACACCCCTAACCTCTAAACCCTACACCCTAAACCCAAAACCCTACACCTTAAGGTCTGGGGCGAGTAAGGGTTCAGGGATCTTTGTAATACCTTGAACCCTCATAACCCCAAACCCTAAAATCAGTGGCTTACTTTCCCAATCATGGGCCCTTTTATGGTACCCAAATATACCCCAAAAGGAACCCTTTTTTCGGTTCGGGGTTGAGGGCTCAGGGTCCTACCAAGCCCTGAATAGCTTAAATACTACATGCCCAAACCCTCCCAGCCCTGACCCTGAACCCCCCCCCCCCCCAAAAAAAAAAAAAACACCTAAACACGAAACTTTCCCTAAAACCCTAAACCCTGAAACCCAAAAACCTGAACACTAAACTTTCCAGTAGACCGAACTCCTGAAATCCCCCAAACACACCTCGTCTGGGTGCTATAGCTTCGTCCAAGGTCGTGTCCGAAGCGTCTCATGACCGCATGAAGAACAAACCCTAAACTCTCTAAGCCGTAAACCCCCCCCCCCTCAGCACCCCTAAACCTCCTAGAACGCTGTCAGCGCAGTAAAGCCTAAGACCTGAACCACCCAAACCCTTCACCCCCAACACCCTCAACCCCCTAATCCCGACCCAAGACCCTAATTCCTGAAACCCTAAACCCTAAACCCTAAACCCTAAACCCTAAACCCTAAACCCTAAACCCTAAACCCTAAACCCTAAACCCTAAACCCCACCCTCGAACCCTCCAACCCTCTGAGCCCTAAGCCGCAGGGCAAGACCAAGGGGCAGCTCAAAGCCTGAGAGTGGGAGAGCAAACCTAGGGTTTAGGGTTTAGGGTTTAGGGTTTAGGGTTTAGGGTTTAGGGTTTAGGGTGCAGGGATCAGGGTTTAGGGTTTAGGGTTTAGTGTTCACTTGGTGCGTCGACTGGCTTTAGTGCGCGTAGGCTTCAGCCAAGCCGCTGTGCACGCCGGTTTCTGGCCTTTGGGCTGAGGGTTTATAGGGTGTAGGGCTTACAAGGCTTATAGGGCTTTATAGGGCTTTATGGCTTTAAGTTTAGGGCTTTGTAGGTTTATAGGGCTTAGGGCTTAAAGGGCTTATAAGGCTTCATAGGGCTTGGGGCTTTCTTGATTTCACAGTTCGACAGCGCGACATGTCGCGATAGGTTGCCGAGAGCCTGGGACTGGATGTGTCTGCAAACCTGTTTGGGGATAAGACCTCAACTCTAGAAGCCCTAAACCCCTAAGCCCCTAAACCCTTACTGTGAAAAACCCTAAACCCTAAAGCCAAACTTTACCAGACCCTAAACCCTGAGCCCTGATACCCTTCATCCATCGTCGTCCCAGAGTCAGGGATCTGGAGTTGATGTAGATTTGATTCTGGACCGTTCTACTAGGATTTAGGAGGCCGAAACGATCTACTGTGTTCCCTTATTCCTTTTCTTCAATACTCAGGTTGTAGGTTCCCTTGTATGTCCCATTACAAAAAAAGAGAGGTATCTTTTTCGGCTTTTGAGAGCCGTCCGGTCCTCCGGCAATTGTTTGCCACAGCTCGACTTTTCTGATACACGCAAGCATACCTCCAAAGAGGTATGGCACTTGGCGAAGCTCCGTGCGCAGGTCGCAGAATCCGCGACCCTGAAACGGCTTCCCCGTCACGAATGGCGAATGCTGCGAAACATTAGCTGCGGGCAGCGCGCCGCTTGCAGCCCAGCATTCCTTCGCAGGGCCTTTGCATGCAACATTATAGTCTGTCGATACATTGTGTTATCTTCGTATACAAGAGTATATGCTACTATTTATATGCCTGTGCTTACATACGTGCATACTTCTGGCTTCGTTAAGCTATATTGCATACATCCCAATAACCGGCTTGTTTAAGATGCATTGGGGGCTCCTTTGTGTATATGTGGGGAAGGGGGGGTTTTGCTGGTTTGCTTGGATGAGAATTGCATAGAATCCTGGTGTACCAACCTTAAACCGTCAGCCCCAAATCCTACAAACATACCTGGTGTACCAACCTTAAGCCGTCAGCCCAAAAAATCCTACAAACATACCGATGCCCTCAGGGCTTTCGGCCCTGTTGAATTCTCCGACCGAAGGCATCGTCTGCCAAAGGTCTAAGCTCGGCGACGAAAATGCGGGGTGCACTGTGCTAGGGGCCAGGCTTCGGGTTCCGGGTTTAGGGTTTAGGGTTTAGGGTTTAGGGTTTAGGGTTTAGGGCTTGGGGGCTGTTTAGGGCTGAGGGTTTAGGGCTGCTTAGGGCTTAGGCCTGTTTGGGGCTTAGGGTTCCGGGTTCAGGGCTTGGGGGCGGGTTGAGGGCGGGCTGGACAGAGCTTAGGGTTGGTTAGGGTTTAGGGTTTAGGGTTTAGGGTATCGGGTTTAGGGTTTAGGGTTTAGGGTTTAGGGTTTAGGGCTTAGGGCTTAGGGCTTAGGGCTTAGGGCTTAGGGCTTAGGGCTTAGGGCTTAGGGTTGTTTAGGGTCTAAGTTAAGGCGGTGTAGGGGTTCAGGGTTTAGGCTTGCGTTTGCGGGCCAAGCCTTGGGCAGAGCAGCTTAAGTTTTCCTGGGGTCTAGGGTTATTTCAAACTTCCGGAGTTTAGAGGGTGCATTGTTGTGGGGCTTGGGGTTTTGAATTTTGTCTGCGGAGTTTGTCCTATGCAAGGTGTAGGGTTTCAGGGTTTCGGGGGCCTTCGCTGTGTGTGGTTCAAGGGTCAGAGTTTCTGGGGACCTTAACCCTGAGGCCGGCATTCAGAACCTCGGCGGAAGCTAAACCAGCACACTTGGTGCGGACAGCTTGTTGAATCTTTACAAGTCTTAACCCTAAACCCTACATAACCCTGAGCCCTAAACAACCCCAAACCACAAACAACCCTCAACAACCCTGAATCATTGCTCTGCTCAACAGCCATAGGCTATAGGCCCTGACTCCTTGGCGACGAAATGAGCCCTAGATTGGGTCATATACCCCATACTACTAAAGTTCCGATGACAAGGTAATTGTATGAACCATCCGAAAATTGGGGTCATATACCCTATACCACTATATAGTTCCTAATATAAGGTGATGAACCATGAACGCCTTAAATGGTTCATTGGGGTCATATACCCTATACTACTATCGTTCCTGCTACAAGTACATGAACCATAAACCCTTTCAGTGTTCATTAAGGGGGATAAGGAGGGACCCCTAGGCGGGACCCCGAATCTTACTCCCTTATATAACCCCTTTGCAACCCTTATATAGTCCCTATATACCTAAGTAGCCCCTAACTAAACCCCAAACAACCTCGAAGGTCCCTAACAAGGGTCCCGCCTTCAGTCCCTAAACCCTAAACCCTAAACCCCCAAACCCTGAACCCTAAACCCCAAACTCTAAACCCTAAACCCTAAACCCTTGGGTTCATGTGGTCCCCAGACCATTCGTATTTTCAGACCTGCGCGCTGCCATGAAATGAGGGCTTCCTTGGCTGCGGTCTTGGCGGCCGCCTTTTGGCTAAGAGGGCTAAGAGTGCTCAGCCCTGAAGGTTTAGGGTTTAGGGTTTAGGGTTTAGTGTTTAGGGCTTAGGGCTTAGGGGTTTAGGGTTTGGGGCTTAGGGCGCCTGAACGCTAAAGCCTCATAAACCCCTCCACAGACATCCTGGTCTTCTGATTTGTAATCCCGCTCCCCTCTCCCCCCCTTCTGAATCAAGTTTGGGAAATGTTTGGGAAAGTCGTGGGGGCAGAGTTAGGGTTTAGGGTTTAGGGTTTAGGGTTTAGGGTTTCGGGTTTCGGGTTTAGGTTTAGGGCTTAGGGCTTAGGGCTTAGGGCTTAGGGCTTCGGGCTTAGGGGGGCGGGGGGTCACTGTTGCGGCTGGATGGCCTCCACGGGCTTTTCGGGGCCTCTTCTGGGCTTCTAATGGGCTTCTTTCATGTAAGCAAAGACTTCGCAAGACCTGAAGTCGCAAACACGGTCTAGGGTTTAGGGTTTAGGGTTTAGGGTTTAGGGTTTAGGGACCCCCCAAGTCATGGCCTCGTCGTGCCTTCTTGCTGCACGGAAGGCTTGAAGTTCCTAGGTCGGAGAAGGGGGGACCCTGAAAAGCTCTCTTAAACAGGGTCTTGGGTTTAGGGTTTAGGGTTTAGGGTTTAGGGCTATTCAGAGGGCCTGTAGCCCCAAGGGTCCCCGAATTTTCTAGAAGTGCCGTCTAAGGTGTAGTGTTTGTACGGTTCGGGTTGTGTGCCCCCCAGGGTTTAAGGTTTGGGGTTTAGGGTTTAGGGTTAAGTTTAGGGTTTAGGGTTTAGGTTAGACTCATCTTCAACAGCGAAAGCGATGTACAAGCAAACGGTTTTCCGGCGGTAGGGTACCTTAAGTTTCTTGTTCTTCTTCGACGACGACGACGACAGCAGCGACAGCAGCGACAGCAACACCAAACATAGTCAACAAACCATGCCGTATGGGGGTCGACGACAATAGGCGCCCTTAACTTAGATTCCCAAATAGTAGGATTCCCTGATAATAAGGACCCCAAGAAAGTATCCCTAAACCCTAAACCCTAACCCTAACCCTCAACTCTAACCCCTAAACCCTAAATCCTAATGTAAAAAAGCCCCCAGTATAATCAGAAGAGCAATATCGAAAGCACTTTCTCGGCGTTAGGTTCCCCACTTCGGCCGTGGCTTCCAACCCAAGGAGCCAGGGGATTTAGGGTTTAGGGTTTAGGGTTTAGGGTGAGGGGTGGGAGGGGGGGTTGGGGTTTGGGGGGTTTCGGGGGGTTTGTAGGGTTGTTGGGGCCTCTTGTAGTGAAGGGTTTTGTTGGCTGAGAGGAGTTGGGGCACTAGTTTTGCCAGTGGGTTCGTGTCGAGGTATCCCCTCCGCGCCAGTCCCATCTAGTATGCCCCCGGGTTCCTACGGTCCTACAAGTGCGAGGTTCTCTCATTGAGCCGATTCGATTGCGGAGCCTTCTAGGGTACGCGGGGAGGGATCAAACTGAGAGAATCCGCCAAGTAGACCCACAAGTTTGTTTTTCCATTTCTGTTGCATGGTTCACAGCATTTTGACTGTATTAGGGAGTATGTGGAGGTGAATGAAGTTTCCAGCAATGCGTTGGTAGATTCTGGTACATGCTAAAACAGCATCTTCTACCCTGTTCCTCATCTCGTCCATCGAAAGTTGTGGACCTATTCATTATTGCCCTCAACCCCGAACCCTACACTGGCCATGTCCTGTTTCCTCAAGTCTGGCTGAAGTATGCCGAGTCCGTGCCCTAATTTGGGGCCTGAATATTAGAATATATATATATATATATACATATACTTATTTATTCTTTTGGGGTGATAGTATATAGCTCTATAGGGACCATAAGGGAACAGCATTACCCGAGCCCTACCCTTCATGTCCCAGCCTGTGGAGGAGTCGGCACACTGCTTGCACTGGGCATCCGAGGCCATATTCTGTTCAGAGCTTGGATTGGTTAGAGTGCGTAGGCTCTGTACGTGTATAAAAATGTATGTATATACATATGATGTATGTAGGCATATACATGTATATACATATATATATATATGCTACCCCCCCCCCAGCGACCTACCCTTTTTAGGCCTTTTTTAGGCCTTTTATTTTTAACAAAAAAACAACAACGAAGGCCCATAAGTCGCGTAGTCAATCACCGGGCAATGAAGGACAGTTACTGGGACACCCACCTCACAGACCCCGATAAGCCAGCGTTGCATTAATCTACATTTCGAATCTGAAGCGGACAATGCTGTTTTTAGATGTTTAGATCTGTGTTTTTTCTATGCAAATTGTGCGTTTAAAGGGCAATTAAAGGTT